TCCAAAGGTTCTTCTGTATGGGGAGCTGGCTACCAGCAAGAGGATGATCTCATCTTCACTTCAAGGATATCTGCAAAAGGGATATGTGGGCAATGGATATGGACATCAAGAGAGTGGGAAGATGTTGCCAATGATCGCTCATGCTGGAGACATGATTTACACTGGAATGAGGTAACAGAGGCTTGCCAACAGAGAGAAGAGTGCTTGAAGGAAAGAAAATAACACAGTGACATTGGAGGAAAGCATTTTCACATGCATTCATTGAAATTGAGTCTGTCACTCCTGGTTGGGCCTGTACAGCCAAAGCAGATGTTGCACTGCCATCAGCAGCTAAGACATAACTCTTTAGGACATAAATCCACAGTCTCTTGAGACCAAATGATGCCACATATATTCTTGTATGCATTTAAATTGTATCAGAATTTTGGGGTTTCATGATTTTCCAATGAACCAAAACATGAAAACATTGAAAGAATATAAAAATTTTTAAAAGCATGTTTAAATTAACTCTTTCATTCCCACTACAACCATTAAAGTCACAGAATTGACATTCTTATTACTAATATTAGCTCTTGTTGCTATGAATTTTAAATAAAAGAAGTTTGAAGTTTTAGAATGGGAGATTAGCTACTAAGCCGGTGCGGCTCATTGTTGCTAGTCTTATATTTTAAAATTCTTGAAGTGGTAAATAAAAAACAAAATAGAATATTACCTTAGCTGTTAATTTAGTACATATAAAATTTACACTTTCCAAATGGTCAATAGTCATTTAAATTATTCATTTATAATATGGACTTATATATATATATATATATATATAAGTTTTTTGTTAATCATAGACCTTTTTAGTTATTCCTGTTGCCATGCTTTATATGGGGTATTTTTGTAGCAAAAGTTTGTCAAAGCTTTCAACAAATTTTTAAACTTTCTTTCATTTTATTCAAAAGAACATTAATTTTTTAAATGGTAAGTTTTTTGATATATAAGTAAAACTTTTCTTAATATCAGGAATTTAATGTTTCTCTATATTTTGTATTTGTACAAAAGTCAATAACCTGGCAAACTCCTAACTTTTTCTATTTATAATTTAAAATTACGTTTCTTGTCTTGAAAATCAAGGTAAGTGAATAGAATGAAGAGACTTGAGTCAAACAAAATGTTGTATATAATTTGATTTCTTTTAAGATAAAAGTGTAGCTGTTTGTTTTTGTTTTTACATTAGTGTTATTGTGATAAACCTCGGATTAATAATGAGTTGTTTTGGGGGTTTCTTTTTTACTGAAATGATCTTGAGAATAAGAGATTTTCAGCTTGGGAAAGATAATTTCTGTTCATTTTTATTTTCAATCAAATGCACGAGCCAAGCAAAATATTTGACCTTCAGAATAACATAAATTAACAAAACTGACATTTTTTTTACTAAAGCTCTTTTTTCACAAATAAGTTTTGCTATGTTTTTTTTTATGACTTTAGACTTGCAGATATTTGGTCAATTACCAAATACAGTAATCTGTCAATTCTAACAAGGATTTTCATTTAATGAAAACATTTAATATTAATTTTTTCTATGATGCCACTAACAAACTGGATCTTTTTTCTGTGACTACTTGGTGTATTCATTTGTGGTACAATGAATATTCCTGAAAAATTATTTTTTACTTTACATATAAAGTGAAAAAATCTTCATAAAAGCCAATTCTCTAGATTTTTTCTAACAAATTTGTAAATGTCACTTACAAGGTGATGTTGACTGGTTCTCAGGCCAACTATGAAGAATAAGCTAGAATAATAAAATATTCTATTAAATATATTTACCCAATTTGGCACATCGTTTCCCAACTTTCTTTTAACCTTTCGAAAAATATTTGGATGTTTGCTCATTGCAAACGAAATACTGATTTTGGGAAATTTAACTTTTCAGCACACCCTCATATTTTGAGTGCAAACTTTAAGATAAATCATTTTTAGTACTTAATTAATGTGAAATTATTTGATTTGTTGACCAAAATTTTAGCCATGAAATAAAGAATTATTTTTAGCTTCTGTTCAAATTATTTGGCTATCTTTGTTTTATTTATCATTAACTGCACATTACAATATTTGAAGTAAATCAGATATAAACAAATGAGAAAGTAATTCTTATGGGTTATTTTATTAAAAGTATATAATTTGAAGAATCAGTTCCCAATTTTAAATAAACTGAAAAATCTGATCTCGTCTTTAAATATTTTGTAAATAAATTTTGCTTTCAGAAAAGATTAGTTTATTCTAAGCCATACTTACAAATCTAAATCTGGACAACTTATTGAGTTACAAACATCAGTGTAACATAAACATTTATTTATACACACTCACATCATTAATAATTTATTATTTTTTATTCTAATTTAACTTATTTCTCTGAAATTCATCTTTTTGTTCAGAGTAAAATTCTGAAGCAAAATTAATGTTTTTAAAAATGTCTGAAAATGTTCTGAATTGCAAAGATGCTCTAAAAGTCTTAAATCAAATTTTGATTGCCTTTTGTTGAAATATATGTACAAGGGGCTACTGAAAAACTTTCAGCCAAACCCACTTCCTAAATGTTGTATTTCAATTAATTAAAGGTTGAGGAATAATGTACCAAGTGTATTGAACTCTGCAGTGAATATGTATATTTTAATGTCTCCAAGTCTGATAATTTTATTGCATTCTCTTGTATATAAAATATGAACAAAAAAAATGAAGAGATAAAATCTTTATTGTTCTACAGCAGGTTCCATCTCCATCTTCCACCACTGTCTTTGAGTTGTTGTGACTTTCTTCCTATGTTTTATATTAATGTATTTTTCTGTGTAAACCATTTTTTTTTCTTCTTTTTTTTTTAAGCAGGCAGAAAGCTTTCTTTTTTTTTTTAACAAGGCAGGAAGCCACTAGCACGCAAGGGGTTATAGAGGATTGGAGCGGGAGCAGGTAGGAATGATAGAGGAAAGGATGAGGAGAAGGATAGTGGATAGATCAAGGCAACTGGAGATGTCGATTGACATTACATTTGAAAAGTTGGAGATTATAGCTATCAGGGAAACAGGAATAGGGAAGGGAGTTCCACAGGCGAGAGGTGCAAGGTATGAAGCTATTGGAGTAGAAGAGGCGGCTACATTTAACAGTTTCAACAGTGAGAGCGGGATGCCAGCTTCGTAGGACGCTTGAATTTGCGAAGTCTGGGAACCAGCGAAAGCAGCTCATCAGAGCAATTACCATGAAAGTATTTGTAAAAAAGACAGAGAGAGGTGACGGCGCATCTGTGAGAGAGCGACTGCAGACAAGATGCCAAATCAGGGCCAATTATATTGCATATCCATCTCTGGATCTTGTCAAGAACCCAGAGGCAAACAGTAGGGGCTCCAAACCATATATGGCAGCAATACTCCATACAAGGGCAAATGGTTGATTGGTAGATTTGAAGGATTGATTCTGGGGAGAAAAATTTCCTCGTGCGGCACAAGGAGCCAACTTTCTTTGCAGTGGACGAAGTAATTGACTCAATGTATTTGTTCCATCTCAGGTCAGTAGACAAGGTGAGACTGAGCAGCTGCAGAGAGGTGCTCTCGGGAAGTTGAGTGTCAAACATTCTAATGGGAGGCAGGGAAGGATCTCTGTGGTGATTAATAGAGAGCAGTTTTGCTTTGGAGGCATTAAAGTTAACCAGCCAATTACAGCCCCAGTTCACAACCAATTGGAACTTTTCAACGTATCAGAATTATATATCTCTACACATTGCTTCAATTTCCATATCATAAACTGACTATATTTTTATGATATTCTTATTATATTATTTATATGTGATGATTATATTTTTAATGTGAATAGATTCCTTTCCATAGCATCTGATGGGAATTGAATTTTGGGTCTTGTTCGATTTTTTTTACTCATATCTAAATACAGAATCTCTTGTTTCATTCATATATTAATTAGTATTTAGTATTATTAACTGTTGAAGAGTAGATTTAATGTCTATTAAAATGAGAACAATTGGCTTTTGAAAACACTCTGATATTCTAAATGAATTTATGCTTGAAAAGGATTTATTATACTTTATATTTTTAACAGTCATTTTTCTTTTGTTTCTTGTAAGTGTTTGAATATTGTAAATATTAATTGAGGAAATTTTAAAAAGCTGTTATTATTATCCCCACTCCACAACAAAATTTGTACATACAGGATAAGTTAGGATTTCATAATGAAAGTTTGGTATTATGATGTCTGCAGTATGAATGAGAAATGTAAATATAGACTTTGGGTGAAAGGAAAATTTTCAACCAAATGGGTCAGCAATTGTGACTAACTTGGTTAGCCCTTTAGCATTCAATCCATTCAAACCCATCCTATGAATATATGCTCTCAATGTTCCACCAGCCATAACCCACCCCATGTATATTCTGCCATAATATATGACAACATAACTGCAAATAACACAGTGAGAATTTGAGAGCTGATATTTGCAAGGTAGGTTTGGTTATGTTGAATGCTAAAGGGTGAAATATAGCTCAAAGAAGACTAGCCCATCCCCTACCTCAATTTTAGGCCTTGTTAACATTTATTTTTCATATACAATAATAAATATCCACTTTATGATTAATTCTTCTACTTTTCCTTACTATAACAATCAAGATTTTTCATTGCTTTATAGCAGTGTAAAACCCATGACTGTTAGTAACAGTTTTTCTCTTTAAATATCTTTATTTGCCAAATACTAGATTTCCATCATCAACATCACATATTGAAAGTCGCCATTTTAAATATCTTAATATCCTCATATGGTATAAACTTTTACATAAAATAAATAATTCCCAAGCAATTTATAGTAATATTTAACCTTACAAAAGTAGACCCTTTTTAGATCCTGATATAAAATGATATCAAATATAATGCCAAATCACTTTAAAAACAAAAACTATAGGTTATCTTTTAGTTGTATATTATGTAATCTTTGGCTGATTTAATTTTTATTTTTTTTTAAGATTTCTACATCAACCAATCTCCTCAGTTGAACCAAAGATGGCCACAGCATTCAAGTGTCCCTCAGGGCTATGCCAGGATGGTGGGAGCATCTGGGTTTGTCGATCCCATAAATCAGGTTCTCACAGATGACGAAGATGAGGATGCAGAAAAATTTTTCAAGAACTTGCGACTAACAGATCGCAAAAGCAAGTGGCAGCACACAAAAACACGTAACCCCTTATCTGTGTCCAGAATTGCTGAATATTGCAATTCCCCAACACTTCCAGTAAGTGGTTCTGAAGGTAAGCAGTTATTTTTTTTCTCTCTCTCTCTCTTACATATAGTTTTCATTTTCATATGTCCTGCTTTATGCATTTAAATGTGTCTGTCTCTATACTTTCTTTACATCTTTTTTTTATATCCTTTTAATTTCTCTTTATACATCCACATATTTCTAAATAGTAAATGGATTGTTTATAAACCAACATTATTTCTTATTACTATATAAACATTATATTTAAAATAAAAAAATATATAATTATCTTCTACATATTTTAATGTATATCATTCTCATTTTCCTTGTGTGTGGAGGGGAGACATTTTATTACTCTGTTAGTTTTGTTTCTATTACCAGAAAGCATATGAGATAATTCATATTTTCAAGGAATTAACAGATGAATCTAACATTCTTGCAAAAATAAACAATTTACTCTGGCAATTTAGATTTCTTTTCTTGTCTAAGACACTCACTCTTTGATGACTTAATTTTATTTAAATCTAAATTTAATCACTTTGGGGAAAGTGATTGCAGTTGGCAATTCTCTTTTAATGCATTAACAGAATAAATATTTGGCCAACTGGGACCTTTGTGCCTGAAAAAAACAATCTTTTTCCATTGACATCACTATTATTTTAACTACCTTCCATACTTGGCAATATTTTTTTTTAAAGTGGTGATTAGAATTGTAATAAAACCTAAACATATGATGAAAGTGAATTTATATATTTTTTTTGTTCTTGAGAAACAAAAATATTAAACAATATTTATTTATTAGATTGTTTATTTTTTAGAATAATTTTATATTTGCAACATTCTAAAAACTAATACAATTAAAACTAATGCAATGTAATATTTTTTTATTTTTAAAGAAATAAATATGAAAACAATTTTTATTCATAATTTAATAAACATTTACTAAATTATTAAAATATATGAACTGTAAGGAAATTCTTATTTACCATTTTATAAAATTCAAATCAGTTGGCAATTGACCAATGTTTTACCAACCATTCCAATAAGCAATCTAATAAATATATAGTTTTTATTATTTTTGTTGTCAATTTTTAAGAAAAATAATGTATAAATTCACATTCATATGTTGCTTTCATTTCCAATCATCACTTTTTAAAACAATAAACATTGCCAAGGAGTGAAAGTAGTTAAAATAATAATGGTATCAATGGAAAAAATGTACTTTTGATGCTCCATTTTTTTGTGGGAATAAAGGTCCAAGTTTGCCAAATATTTTATTTAAGACATTATTTTTTCAATTTGAAACTCTAAAATTTTAACTTCTATCCGATGTAATTTTATAACTTGGAAAGAAAAATGCTATTCAGAAAAAGTTATCAATAAAGCTTTAAAATATGTAATTTAATCATACTTATTAGGTTGGAAGAAATTCTGTTACATTTTTGACATGATCCTTTTGAGGGTACTTTTTCAATATTTACATTGACTATTGATTTTTATGTTCTAATGTTTGTCTTTGTTTGTAGATTACTTAATATCAAAACAGATGAATTTTGTTATGATTTTATCCTTTGAAAATGAGTTTACATATCGGTACTATATGTTGTATAAATTTAGAAAAGGTACTTCAACAATGGAAGTGGCAAGAAATATTCCTTCTATCTATATAAAATAAAGTTTTAAGTATCTAGATGTGCCAATGATAATTTCACTAGTTTTCATCAGGAAATTTTTCTCTCAAAATTTCCTATCAATCTGGATAAAAAGTTTTGCCAATACTGAGTTTCTGCAAACCATAATTAAAGAGAATTCTAAAAAGAATTGCATGATAATTATCAAAACAGTTTAATACAAGGTAAAATTTAATCATAAAAGATCTTCATCAACTCAGAAAAGTGTCTAAAAGTGCCAATCTGACTGCTTCTCAACAAAAGTGTTGCCCTCTGCTCATCATGAAAGAGTAGACTTGCTACCAAGCCTTTCCTGGGTAAAATCATCACCAGTGATGAAAAGTAGTTTCCTTATACCCCATGAAAATGACAATGGTTATCACATTGAAAAAGGAGAATCCATCCCAAACCCTAAATTATAAAGTGCTAAACCAAAATGAAACACAGTTAATGCAAAGTAGTATTATTGTCACTTGGAAGCACTGCACAGAAAATTGTAGAAAAAGTGCCCATCATTGGTTAATCATAAAGGCATATTGCTCTTACACAAGATTGTGTATTGCCCAAGTTATTTAGGAAAATATTATGTCACTAATTATGAAAGTTTTGCTTCATCCTTCTCACATAACTGACCTTACTCCATCTTTGCAAATCAATGCAACATTTTATATAAAGAAAACAGTTTATTAATTGAGAAGAGGTTAAAACTGATACTGTTGTTTTGAATTGAAATTTGAAGAATTTTATGCCTGAGGAATCAACAATTTGTAAAATGGATGTAATTATGCTATCAATAATGAGGGAAAATATTATTTTGACTAAATATATAAATTAAGACCAAAAATGCATTTGTTTCTTTTCCCAAACTTCCTTTTGAACCTAATACAAAACATAACTATTTTTGCACAAAATCAAAATAGTAGAGTACACAGTTAAAATCAAACTCATTGCACTAACCACCTATGATGGTTTAGCTTTTATGAACTTTGATATTCTGTCATTTTTAGTATTTTGTTTTGAATAAAATATTAGACATAAAATGAAGTGAAATTGGCTTTTGAAGGTAATTTTTGAGATTTTTCCCATTGTTAACAAACTGGTTACATTCACCATAATCATTATTATTACAATTAATATTATAAAGTTATACTTCTAAATTAAATAACTAAATGTGCAATAAAAAAAAAAGTGTTTAAATGTGGCCAGACTTTTTACAAAAACAAAAATGTTGTTTATATCAATAATATTTTATAATTATTTCTATTTCTATATGGCAGGTGACGTCCCACTGAAATACAACTTGGAGCAAGTTCACGTCTTAATTCGACATGGTGACCGTACACCAATGCATTCTTTTCGAAATCATCCAAACCCCACATTAGGTTGTCGTATTGACCAACAACTGTTTGCTGCTCACAGTCCTTACCTGGAGGGCTTTCTACCCACCATGATAGCATTCCAGGGTAAACAACATCCATCTAGTGGTTTCAGGAACTGGGCTCTTTATCCAAATCATCGTATTTGTGATGGCTCCCAATTAACTGGATTAGGAGTTCTTCAACATCTTCAGATTGGAGAATTTCTCAAAGATAACTATGTGCATCGATGGCGCTTGTTTGGAAATGCTTACAATGCCCGGAAGGTGTACATCCGAAGTACTGAGTATTCACGGACATACCAAAGTGCCATTGCCTTTCTCTATGGATTCCTGCCGCACTTTAACTTGACAGAGCTTCTTATTGAACGCTCTTCCAACCTTTTGATGTGTTCCGAACGGTTTTTTGGTTCATCCTGCCACTGCCCAGTTATTCATGCCCTGAAGCAGTCCACCGATCGGCTAGCATCATTTCTCATACAAAACAATTCCCAATATTATTATTTAGCTCAGAAAATAGCATCAGTCTACAATTTAAAAGTTGGTCAGCTTCCATGGGCTAGTGCTATGATGGATGTGTTTATGTTTTATGCCTGTCACAATATCACCCTTCCTTGCAACACTAAAGGTCAGTGTGTTGATTGGATGGTATTGGACAATCTTTGGGAGCACCTTGACCAAAATGGCATCCGACAAGTGACTACAGACAGCACTAACCTGAAGCGACACCGTCTAGCAACACATCCTTTCTTGTATGAAATTGTGCAGTCCATGAAAACCTACATGAGAGGAAATTCTATTATTAAGTTTCAATTATATTCAGGTCATGATGTTACTGTGACCCCTGTGCTAACTGCTCTGGGTGCACACAGTGGCAAATGGCCTCCTTATGCCTCTAGGATTGTATTTGAACTTTACAGTTATCGACGAAACCGACAGAAACGATATTACATTCGGATTTTGTACAATGGACAGGATGTAACAAATCTGACACCATTTTGCAGTTTTGCTTCAAATGAAAATCTTTGTCCATTTGAAAAATTTTCAACTTTTGTAATTAAAGACAGTCTACGGAAAATAGGAATTTCTGATTACAAGGATGCATGTAGCCAGGGATTGCCGCCAACAGAAATTAAATGAAAGGAAAATAATGATATAAAATCTATATATAAATGTGTATGTATGTGTGTATACAAGGAGGTACTGAAAAGTTCTCAAGCCAAACCACTTCCCAAAATCTGACCAAATGACCAAGCATCAGAATTTATATTGGGATCCCTTCCTGGTCAGGTTGAGAACTTTTCAGCATTCCTTTGTATGAGGAGGATGGTGAATGAAAAATTTTTGGCCTAACCAAGAAGGGATTCCGTAATAAATTCTGATGTTTGGCCATTTGGTCAGATTTTGGGAAGTGGGTTGAGCCAAAAACTTCTAGCACCCCTCATATATAAGGATTTTAATTTTAGAATGGATTGTTGACAATCAGAATCACAACTCAACTGAAGATAAAAAAAACAGAAAAACTTCAACATTTTTGGGAATTACAAGCAACAAAACATGGGATATAATACTTCTTTTTTTTTTTCTTTTTTCCTCTTTCATTTTTGGTGAGAAGGTGGGACTGATTCTGTTTGAGTGTTTCTAGTCTGTTATTTTTAATACAACTGTTTTAAAAAATCAATTAAACATCTTCTTGGGTTGGTTAATATTTCGGGACAGATTAAATCCCTGATCACAGACAAATATGTATTTCTTCTTTTAGACTCTGCTCTTGTACACCCAATTTATTTTTTTAAACATCTTTTTAATACTTCAATTTTCTTTTATATTCATTTTAAGTGCAATTATTACCATTATTTTGTTATAGAGCTCAGCTTCTAATAAAAAATTATAATTACAATGGAGAAAGATGATAGTTATCTTAGTAAACAATAATTCAAATTTATTTCTTTACTATAATGAATAACTTTGCCTAAAAAATTTGTTTTGTTTTAATAAAACCAATGAAGATACAAGTGAAATTTATCAAATAATACTTAAACAGGTATATTCCTCATTTTTATGTCAATGTTTACAGAAAAATATTTTGTTAGAATGCAGACGAGTAAGCAACAATAGTGTTACCTACTGACTCTTTCCTGCCTATGAATGGTTTTCTACAGATTAATCTTTATTAGTCAAAACTAAAATTTATGACTTCTGCAAACAGTACAAAAAACTCACAGCCATAAATATTTTAGTTGTTTTGTTTCATTTCAGAAAATTTTTGCTGCAACATAATTGCTTTTTTATAATTAACTTAAGCTTCATTTGTTCTCTGCTATAAGATTTGGGAATCAGTTTTATAGTCACTTAATATTCTTAAACTACACTTTACTAACTTTAACAACTTTACTGAGTACTATGTCTTAATGAATAATTTAAATGGATTTTTTATTAAAAATTTCTTAGTTACAGGAAATTTTGTTATTCAGAAAGATATATTTTATCAAATAGACAAAAGATTTTAACAAAGGATAAAAATAATTGGCACAGTAAAAAGTGCTAAATATTTACTTATAAAAATTTTATCTTTTTTATTTTAGATTTATTCAAAATTACTCTTATATTCTCCCACATTTGTTTACTTTTTAAATAAATATCGCCACTAACATAAAATTATTACTAAAATATAAACCTTCTCAATGATACATTAATGTTGATAATATCATTAATAAATTTAATAAGCAAGAACAATGTATTTATACATTTTTTTATTGTAAGCATTTTATGAAGTGATAATATTAGCAATTATATAATGTAGTCTTAGTAATTGTAATATTAAACTCTTCCATTGTAATCATCATTCATAAGTGAAACAACGTATTTATTGATTTATAAGGAATCACATTTCATTAATGCTGTTAAACAGTTAATAATTTTGTAATTATGATATATAATAGAATAATCATTTTAAATAATTGTATTGTGGTTAATAGCTCAAGAATACTGGAATTAATTAAGTTTATTAATGCTATCCTATTATTATTATTATTATATAGGTATTTGCTTGACTCCCACAAGGTCAAGATGTGACACAAAGTCGTTTAACGTGGGAAAAATATTATTATTATTACATATGTGCAGATTATTGTTCTTTTGTCTTTATTTTAGGAAATCCACATTTCTAGGATCCCAAAGTTTGAATCTCTTTTGTTTCTTCTCCATTAATGAAAAAATCACCCACTATTCTACAAGAGAATTTAGTACTAGTTGCTACACTTAGCCTTCTATTCTACAGAACATAATTCTATTACATACAAACTTAGATCATTTTTACTGGGAGAGTATTTTTGTTTAGCTATTAGTAAATGATAACAATAACATTTCAGCTACTGAAGTGTTTAGATTTAGCAACTGAAAATAAGTTTGTGTTAATAAAAGCCTATATTCATTCATGAAATAACAATAGCTACAATTGAATATCAGCATATAATCATACCTTTAAATGTTTGTACTTGTGTGTGTAAATATGTATATAAATATGTGTTTACATGGGTAGATGTATCAATCCCTTCCTATGATATATAATTTTACAGTGAAACATTTTCACTCATTGGACAACTTCTCTATTTCAACTGTATAACTCATAAAATTGAAATCTTCAGCATTTTGATCTACAAATTTTTGATCTTTTGATAATATATAGTTGTGTATATATATCTGTATCTATACAATTATTTGAAGAACATAAATTTTCAGATTAAAATGTTATAAAGATCACTTCTAAGGTGAATATACAGTCTACTTAACAATTTTATCACCCTAAAGATGTGTATATAAATAAATGAACATACGTTAATCAATTTGTGTGTAAGATTGAAAACATATACATGTTTTGAGATGTTCCATCTTGCATGTATTCTAACTATCCCCCATGGTGGATATGTAATCTGGCAATAATATTAATACAATAGACGTGTTTTCTCTGTCATCATTCTAATAAAATAAGTCTACATTTGTTCATTCCTTACATTTGGTATAGTCAATGTAATTCCTTTAAACCTTTTCACCATCTCAAACAAATCTTGTCCAATTTCAGCTTTCATGGGATGAAGTTTCATTGCAAATTGAGAATTTGCTCATATCAAAATTCTTACATTTATCCTTACTTTATTTCATATGGTGGAGTTTCTAATTTTCCAGGCTAGTCAGTGGAATTCCCACATACATATTTGTGTGTATAGCAACACATGCACACAAATAAATTGCAAGAAATTCTGGTAGAAAAATAATTATGCCCTTGTATACTTTAATTAGGAATCTATAATTTCTGAATAAGAAATAAAATTACTTTAATAGCATTATTAATTATATTATAAACTAACCTTTCAAATTTTCATAAGTTCTAATGTTATACTGTTTTAGTTATCGATTAATCCAAAGATGTTAATATAAGCAAAAATACTGAACACAAAATAAATTCACAATTATATTAATAATTACAATGCTAATGCAATTATAATGTAAACATATAATATGCAATTCTGAATGAGTAACTAAAAAGAATGTAAACTTTTGAAAAGCCCTTAAGTAAATGAAAATGTTGTTTTTTTCATCATCTTTACTAAAACAGAATTTCTTTAGAATATACAAAATATTCTTGTCTTGGCAGAAGTTTTTATAATCTACACTAAACATGTGAGTTTATTTGCCTTGATTTGCTACTTGATCTTTTATTCATGAGACTTGTGAATATGTTATACTACAATATAAAGATTCAGTGGATTTTGCCTTCAAATCAAATAAGTTGTATAAAAATGATAACAGAAAATGCTACTTTTCCTCTGAAAGAAGTAACAGATTAAAGACAAAATGAGTCAGGACAAATTATTGAATTCTAACTTCATTGACAATTCTCAGCCTTGCCTTCACTTTTTTTCATGGTCAATTTCTCAGAGATAACTTAATTTAATAGTACAATATCAGTAAATGAAAAATATTTGTAGGTTTTATTGTCTAGTGCCAATACTGAACATTGATTCAGCATTATGAAAAAGAACAAGAGGTTATTGCAACATATTTTCACTGTTATAAATCAAACAAACCATTTTGGCCCAACCAAAAAGGGATTCAAAAATAAATTCTGATTTTCAGTCATTTTTCAGAGTTTGGGCATCCCCTTATGTTTTTATATATATATATATATATAAATATATATATATGCTAATAGATGGCTGCAAAAGGCAGAGATATTTTGTGATTCAGATCAGCTTCAGCTTTATCATTGATCTGTTCAATGTTAAAACAAATTATTACAACTTCCAATTCTGGAATTTGTTAAACAAGATACAACAAATTACAATATACAACTTCAATAACTCAAATTAAAGATACAATTTACAGCAGAATGAAACTAGTTCATCTAAAAACAATTACAATCTCACACAAATATAAATTTTTCCAATATTGTTAAATTGGAATATTTTTTGTGACTAATCAATTTTACATTTAGTTTGACACCTGAACTTAATCATGAATAATTAAAAACTATATGTAATTTGTTTTTACTATGAAAAAAAAAAAAAAAAAAAAGATTGAGATAATTTTAGAAAATTCATTGAATATCAACATCCTCTATCAAGTGTTCCAAGTAAGATGACTCAAGATAAACCTTTCCAAAACAAACTATTATCTGGAATTGGAATGAAAGCAGTGATGGCATCTAGCCTGAATCCATCATAAAAATTTAGGATGTGGAATTAGTAAATGCTAAACACTTCAGATATCTCGGTGTATGGATCAATTATATGAAATTTAGTTTAGATAATGAAATTGAACACAAGCTGTGCTAGAAATAGTTTCACTCAACACTGCAAATTTTTATAAAACCAAAACATTAACTTGAAAACTCTGTTCTGAAGTGGCCTCATCAGATCAAGACATTCATATAGATTTCATGCATGGCACCAAAACCCATTCAGAAATATCTAAACTGTCAGCTGTATAGAACCACTTTCTCAGATCAATGGTCAAAAACAGCTTTCAACAAGTGGACCCTGTGGGTCTTAGGACGATCATTCTTTGAACCTTGCACAGTGGTGCTACAGAATAACAAACAAAGAACTGTACCAAATAACAGAAACCACATCACAAACCAACAGCAGCAACAACTGAAATGAATATCATATGCAACTCAAAGCGAAAATAATAACAAGATTTTGACTTCCACACTACTAGGAAGGAAGCCCCCATCAATAGCAGTTACTGGACTTGAGAAACCTATTTTCCTGAAAATTTCAACCCACACTAGCACTGGTTGCTTGGTCATTGAATGTTTCCTTATAAGGAAACAACAAATATTACTCTTACCATATTTACAATGGTTTTGTGACTAACTTTTTGAGGAAGTTTCTGAATAACTTCTGCTGCTTTAAGAGTTATTTCCCTTTAACCCAATAGTATTTCAAATTTTATTAAATACAGTTAGAGAAGTTAAGACAAATTAATTAAGTAACAGTTTGCACCATTTCATCCAATAACTGACTGTAGATATTACATTAGAAGAACCCCACCATTTAAGGTAATATTACTTTTCTTGTATAACATATTGGTTATCTTGATGTTTCATCTCAAAATCATCTCCCAGTAAAACTAAAGAGCTTTGTGTATGTAGTTATATATAAAATATTATTATCTAAATATCAGTTATTTTAGAATATATACTGTATGTATACTTAATTTATTCAAACTTATTAGTACCTTTATTTAAGAAATATGTATTTTGAGAAAATAAGTTTTCAAAGAAAAAATAGTTGGATAAGTACATTATCATGAATTTATAAAAATATTTATCTAATAAATTTTTGTTTACATTTTTTTTTACTTTTCAATTTAGCAGACCTAAGCACACCACCATTCTCTCTCTCTCTCTCTCTCCAATAAATTGATGCAAACAGCACAACAAATGGTTAATCAAAGAAATAAAAGCCAAAGAATTGCATTAAATTTAATTTTTTTAAATCAATCAGATTAAGAAGTAAATTTATGAAAAATGTCACTCATTCCACAAAATTCTTAAATCAATTCAGATCTACAATTCAAGACCAAGAAATTGGAAAAAGAAAATATCTCAATGCTGATGTTTCTTGCATTCAAAATTAAAACAGAAAATACTTCTTGAATAATGGTACTTTTAATAAAAGTTTTTAATATATTTTGAATAAAAGTATTTCTAAGCATCTCATTCATGTAATAGAGTATAATTAAATGTCTTATACAGTTAACATCTGAAATAAATTTGGAAAAAATGTATTTTTTCTCTAAAATACTAATGTTTTATTTTCTACCATGGTCTATAAGGATTAGGAACACTGCTAAATAATACTGCATAATTTGTCATGAATTTATTGTTATAATAACAAGACTGGACTTACAAAAAATGAAATGTTGCTATTATTATTTTATACTTACTCCACTGAACAATAAAATAATATCCTTGTCATCTAGAAATTACAACAGGTGAACCAGAGACAAAGTCCTACTATTTATTTTAATGACAAAATAGCTTTAATTTCAACATTTTAAATTAAAAAAGGATATTTTTTGAAGTAAGTATAAATACATATCTGAAATGTTTCTAAACATCTGAAATGTGTGTCATTTATAAAGATCACTTTTCATTGACTTGAAAAGAGATTAAATTTTTTTAAAGTTTCTTTCATATTTTTAACATACAAATTTTTTAATTGTAATTCAACAAACAAAAAAATGCTACAAAATATAAAACCCAAATATATAAGATTTTCAGTATTTTGTTGATACAAATAATAATCAATATTAATCAGATAAATTTTTCACAAAATGATCAATAGTAATATAACTATTTCACCATAACTTGATTGTTTTATGAAGAGATTATTGAAATGATTTTTAATTAATCACTTGCAAGAATTATAAAATTATAAATCACTTGCAAGCTTATTAAAGCATTGGAAGTTAAATATTTTTTCCTTTAGTCTTGAAAAAAATTCTTTTTTTACTTTGGCCCTATATGAGCAAATCATTATTTTAACATTTTTATTAACCACCATTAATGATATTCAATATTTTTTCTAATACTTGAATTTCCAAGACATTAAAAAATGGCTGAAACTTGACTTGTTTCCATGCAAAACCAAATTATTAATGCTAAACCTTTTATAGTTAAACCATCTATTTTTATCATTTTAAAACATTCTTAAAATATGGGAATTATTTTAATTCTATACATTCATGGAAGCTAATTGCATGGTAATTTTATCACTCCACTGTTTTAACTAGAGTTCACATCAAACTTTTTACTTCATATAAATTATAAGCATCAAACAAAAAGGTTAATTTAGGAATCATTTTTCATTCAGGATTTTTTTCATTTATAGAATATAAAATGATCTTTCTGTATGAAAATGAAGTGAAAAATAAAATCTTGTAATACTTTTAAATGATAAGTATCAGTGAGAATCATGATCTTTCTTTCTTTTATACACTCTGACTTGTTTTTACTTGACAATATAATTCTTAAATTGACAGAGACTATTGCATTCTTAAGCCAAAATATTACTTCCAACCCAGAAAAACATTGATTAAAGTTTGGTATTAAGAGCTTAGCATGTCTTGAAGAAGAAAAGTAATGGTTGTAAAAGATGGGATGTCAATGTAGATTTTCCTGTTGGGGGCAATGCTGGTGGTTACTGCCTGACAGAATCTTTATTTTTTAAATACTGTCTGCATATGAATGCATTATTTTGTGGGAACAGATTCTGAATTGGTACAAACGTTTGTATGTATGCTTGTGTGGATGTGCATGCATATATATATATGTGTGTGTGTACAGTATTACACAGGGTGTGTATAAATGATTAGATTCAATTGTATATCTATAATCATAGATATGCTCATAATCTGCATATAAATACATGAACACAAATTGGAATAATAAACTATTTTTCTGTTATGAGATTTTAGCATTTTTTCTTTAAGAAAACTATCTGAAATTATTCACATGAAAATTTATATTTTCATGTTGGCTAATCTATTAATTTAAAAATCTATTGGCAGAATATACAAAAATATTAACTGTATTTTACATTGTGTATGATTCACTCAAGGCCAGACTATTTATCAAAATAAATTACATTTGAATTTTGTTCATTTTAAGTTTTCTTTCATTGACAACTATAATCTCATTGCAGCAATTTCAAAAAAACTTAAAGTTATCTCCATTGTTTAATTCATATTTTTCAGCAGTGGTAAAATCTAATCACATGTTTTCAATAAGCATATTTCCTTCAGTAATATAGAGATGACAAGAAAACAAAAGTTTTCCTCAACATTTCAAACCAGAATAAAGAATGCTGTCATATCATTTTTATGCTTCTGAAATCCACAATACCTTTATATTAATACTTTATTAATTATTTTGATGAATGATCATCAATTATTCATTTTTCCCTTTAATTTCAGTTGTTTTCTACATGAGCTGATTGATAAGTAAGATCTCTAATCCTATAAAACAAGTTTTAAACCAGATAGAATAACGAAACTCGTATTAAACTGCAGTAAATTCATTTCTCTTAAAAATTACCAATTTAATTTTTCAACATAGAATGTTTGGGAAAATGTGCAGCATTACTATCAACTTTTTTCATTTTCTTCTGCAAACAAAGTTTACTTTTAATCCAAATCCAATTCAGCAACTTCATCACCAAATGAAAAAATGTTAACCATTTGACACCTCTCTGGACTTTGGAAACCCAAGATTTTACAAAACTGTACAAATGATAGCAACAGATGTGAATTTCAATCTGCCCACTATTTACTGACTGCAATGTGACCTTGCAGTGTCCTTTCAGTGAATGTCAATTGACACAAATTTCTAGTACCAAAAAATTCTATCATGGACCACCACTTTATATGTAACTCAGATACAAGATAATGGAAATCATTAAGTGAACTGCAATAAATACATTTGAAAAGGACTTTTTATACTAACAAACAACATGTTTCTATTTCCACTATTAATAATGCCAGTAGACACAAAAGAAATTTTTGCTTATCAATCAACCATCATATTGCAACTCTCAAGTGGTTTTTCTGTGACTACCAGTAAACAATGCAAATTAGAAATAAAGAATTAACTTTTTGCAAGATTCCAACTCTCATCCATTTTTCTGATTTAAAGCAACAGATACAGATGCCTTACTGATCAGGCCACATGTCGTATAACTAACATTCTATAGACATTCTTTATCTTCCCGAATCACCTGATTTACTGCCATTTTTATTTATATACACTTTATTAATAATATTATTGAAATTTTAATTTCTTAGATGAAACAATAACAGCAAAATAACATTGTCTCATGAAGAAAATAAACTGCAAAAAATTTCCAATATTATCCATTTATTGGAGCCTTCTTTTTGTTCTATATATGCTGCAATATAAAAAAAAAAGCATCGTCTAAAGTTCATTCTTTTAGGATAACATTTTTTAGATTTTCTATCACACACACCTTTTGAAAGAAAATTTTAAAATTTAGTCTCAAATTTATATAATCATTATTGCTTAAAATCAAAAGTAATTTTATTAGTAATTGTTTAAGCAATAGAATTTTTTAATTTATTTACATAAAGCCTAAATTGCCAAAATTGTGAGAGTTGGGGGGACAAGGTGGCTCTCATGGGATCAACGTTTTCATGGCATGAGAGGTAGGCAAATAAATTGGTCAGTGACACTCACTAAGAGACATTAAAGCTTAAAAAGTATGACTGATCACCATGCCTACATACTTTCATTGACCCAAACGAAAACAGGCAGTTTCTTGGATTCAGTGATCTGTCTAGATTTGGTTTGAAGGTTTTCTACAAATATATACTGAAAATAATAAACCCTAACTACTATACAGTACAAAGTTATTATAGTATGTCTTGAAAATAGATTCATCATGCATTTAACTAAGTCTATTTTTACAATGTAGTTTTGAAGTACTATCAATGATTTTGATTACTATATAACAAAACAGTGAAAACTGAGAGAAAGATAACAAGCTTTGACTTTTATCAGTGATGTTTTTTATGCTCAAAAGATCATTAGTTGTTTGCATAACATTGCAAAAATAATATACACCACCTGTTCAGTGAATTATAAAAAGTATATAAAAGTGAAGTATAAAAATTTGTTTCTTTCACTACAAACATTTGTATCCAACATCTACACAAGATATTTACATTTGGAAAAGTTGTTAAATTGGCATACATTGGTAGAGGCTAACTGTTGATGATGATGACATTTATAGTGTGAAAAAGTGACACTATAATGACAGCTTTGTAAATTCAATATTTTTTCTTAATTTACCTGGGCTTCAAAAATAGTCAGAAAATAGCATCACAAATACACAATAAAAGATTTAATTAAATATTTTGTCTAACTTCAGTTTATACTTTTTGTTCTTTTGTAAAGAAAAAGAGCCTGATGTTTATCCAAATAATACCTGCTAAAAGTCATTGCACCTTCACAAATTTCAAAATAAGGAGCTCTCTCTAACACATTACAGAAATGCTTGAAATCTACTCAGTTTGATTTCTGAAAGCAAACAACTTGAATAAAGTATGAAGAAAATTATCCATTCTCTAATGAGAAAAGACAAATATGTTGTCCATTGGTTTTCCCTTTTGTCAGTAAAGCATTACATAAAAATGAAAACATAACATTTTTAACATATCAATTATAAAATCTGACTTCAAATACCAACAGACAATAAAAATTTTTTATAAATTGATTTATCACTTCAACTGAAGTCCTAACATTGTTTTGACACTAAAAGTATCAGTGCAAATAAACTTGCTGGTTCAACTACAGATTAAAATATATTAGAAAATGCCAAGCACAAGATAACTTGTTGGTATCATAATAAAAAAAAATATTATGTGTTAAATAGAAACTGAAAATTGTTGAAAAGGAAAAAATATTTTAACATTAATCAATTTAAATAGATTAATTAATGTAAGTTGTAGAATAATAATTTTAAAAACAAATTTATTCACACTTAAATGTGAGCACATTTATTTTAAAAATATATGTGCACAATTCAGATGTACACTTTTAAATAAATTTAATTACTTTTAAACAATTTTCAATTTGGTTGTTATAATTTATATGAAACAATTTTTATGTTAAAATTATTTGGTATCATTTGTGTGAGTGTACTGCACACCTAGCCAACCCCTGTTGCAGATACCTTGCTCAGGCATTTCTGTGTTTGTTCAACACCCACAGAGCCCACGCATAACTTTGTGCTAACACAACCATCAATACCTCCCAAATAGTTCCATCAACCCATTTTCACTAACAAGGCTTGGGTCAACACATGGAATAGTTTTCAGGCACTTTCTACAGGTGTCACACATTGGGATCATCTCCCCAGGCCAATAACCTCAAAAAGCCACATTCCTGAAAAATTGACCATAGTGAGATTCAAACCCAGGAAAATGAACATTTTAACCACTCAGCCATGTGTCCATATCCCATCTTTTCTGAACTCCCATCAAATACCTAATTATTCTTCTTTAAGATGACAATGAAATATTTCAAAGAAGTAACATTTTATGGTATGCAGGCAGGTAAGTGTAGTGGATATTGGTGTAGAAAATAGAATCAAAGAACCAAGTTCAAAATTCTGGTTACATTCACTTTTACACTAATACCCTTGGAAAAAGAATGAATCTACCTCTTCTACTAGCTGGGGGGTGCAATCAATCTAAGAGAAGGAGAATTCTAAATTTCAAATCATAGCAAAAGCAATGGGAAATCTCTCCACTATCTTTCCCAAGAATGGATGGCAATTCCTAAATAAAGAAAAGAAACCTGTGGAGAGTAATGATTACTTATGTCCTGATGGAACATGACATTTAAAAAAAGTCTAATGATTATTCTGGTAAATGTTCTCCAAATATTTTTTGATTTGAGCCTGAAAGTAGATGATTTTTATTTACATGTAACAGAATAATTTGGGTATAATAATTTAAGTGCAGTAATCATTAGTAAGGTAGTTTGGTTGACCATTATTACTGGCTAATGAGTTTCATCCTCACTGAGTGCACACATACTTGTAGTCACATACCAAAACTAACCTTAGTAAATAGCAATATAGAATAATTTATTTTGTAATAATAAAATCTCTTTCACCAAATATATATCTAAAGTAACTATTTCTATCCCAAATGTGAAGATAAATAGAAAAATGACTCACAGAAAAATATTTGTATTTAATAAACAGCCAAGTAACAAAATTTTATATATATAGAGAGAGAGAGAGGTGACAGGCTGTTTCATGCTAGACGCAATCATCAGGCGGCCTGACGATAGCATCCAGCATGAAACAGCCTATCGCCTCTGAGTGTTGACTTCAATGTTCACTTTTATATTTATATTTACATACACTCTATTTGATATTGAGCACTTTACCCCAGAAATATAGCACAACTTAAAACTATATTTCTTCATATATATATATATATATATATATATATATATATTGCAATGTATACATACATTGGAATATATGTATTTTACCTGACTTTGATTATTAATGTAATTTTGGTTACAGGCATGTTTCTCAGAATAAATTTTATTAGCAAATAACTAAATGCATATCATTTTAACTATTGACCAGTGACAGCATTTAAGGTATCTTGGTATGATTAAGTACTAAGTCTGATTATATGACATCTTTATTGGTTTAAATCACAGGAATTAAATTTTTTATCAGATTGTTTATATAATAAATATTTCAACAAATATGCCTATATTTTCATCACTTATCTACATTACAAATGTTTTTGCACTGAAAAATGAAGTTGTTATTAAGCAAGTGTACTTTATGATTGGGAGAATCATTTTATAAAATGTTTTAATGATAAAAATTTAACTAAAATGAAAAATATTTGTTTTTTCAGTTGTTTATATTTCTAAAAATGATCCAAATTTAACTTTATATGAATTTAACTTTGTGTTAAACAGGATTTAGCTTTAATTTATTACAAGGACTTCAAATAGAAATTTATAGGTCTACTAAGTAGAAAAAACAGTTTTATTTTTATTACCAACCTATTTCTATGGAATTCACTTTTTTAAATATTTCATGTAGTAAAAATAACAATCCCAACTTAAAAACCACAAGAAGAATATTATGAAGCTGTTTTTATTGATTTGTATGTGTGTACCATTTAACCTCTCTTCTCTATTCAGTAGTACGCCAATAACAAATCAATAAAATGCTACAAAAACAAGGATTTGATAATTGAAAAATTATTTTAAATTCAGTTCTTAAATATGATATTTCTTCAAAGAAAAAAATTTATAGAAATTTTGCACTGAATTCATATGTCATACGTTAAAAAAAAGGGAAATAATTTGTAATTATCTAAAAACTGACTATTGTACAAAATGGAGAAAGAAAGGATGAACACCATTTTCTACAGAAATAACCACATATACAAATCATATAGTTATGAAAAATGTGTTTCATTCTTTCCATTCCAATTAATAACAAAGAAAATTGAATTAAATTAAAAAAAACACAAACTTCATAAAGTGACCAACTATTAACTATTTTAAAAAAGCCTTAATGTAAAAGATTTATGTAAAACGAAACTGAAAAAGCTGGTAAAAAGCAATAAAACTGCAGTTTGTAAATATAGTCAAGTAATCCTTGACTAGTATTTCTAATATTCAATCACAAATATTGAGACAAAAGAAAAAAAAGAATAGTTGATTTTCTGTAACAAAAGACAATTTGTGCTGATTAATCATAAATTCCTTAAGGGATTGAACAGTGCTGCCTGTCTAATAGATGCTCTTCAAACAAGGCATTATCATAGAAGTTCAGATTTATCAAATTTGAAAAATTCACTGTTTCCAAAATATCTTTTTTCAAGCTTATGCGACAACTGAGATACTTTTTTCAGCCTGCAAAGTCATTAATAATTTTCATTTGTACATGATTATCCATGGCTTCAAATAAAAACTTTTTTCTTTTCCTGAAAAAAAGAGCAAGTTCTTTTGCTTGCAGTGAATAAAAAATTATTTTTCATTCAAGAATTTATTTACAAATTAGTTTATCCATACTGTCAAAAATTAAAAGCTGTTAAACAATTTTGAATTTGCATTGTACTTATAAAATACCAAAAATATTAAAGCCATGTGAACAATAAGAGGAAAGTAACAATGTGAGACTGACACAAGGAAATAGTGGAAACCAGACTGTGGTTGAAGACATAAGTCCTTGGTAGTGCAATCTAAACACTGCCTTTCCATACAGTAATCAGACAAAATGTAAAATAAGATTTGTCCTTTTCTTTCTCTAAGTAAATAAACCAAGACATCTACAGCCAAAGAACTTGTTGCATTATAGCTTTAAGCTCATTAAAAGCAGTGGCAATCAAAAATTTCAAATATAAATGACGAACAAATAAACATTTTTCCTGTTTAAAATAAAAACAATATATTCTCACAAAAATTACAATTTTTGGAAAGTGAATAAATGCAAGTGTGTGTATGTGCTTGTAAATGCTTGCCGGTTATGGTAAAATTACTTACATGCTGAGCAGCAGCTGTTCAAGTAACAGAAAAATGGGAGAAAAACTTTTGAAGGTTTGACACTTTAACCCTTGTCACGTTACTAGATGTCTAAGGGGGGTAATCTACTTCCACCACATTTATTTATTGTTTCTGGTTACCCACAAACTAAAGTTATATTTTGGTGGTCATATAATGAAGATATTGACATCCCCCCACTACTTCAAACAAAAGTTTAGGAAGGAAGCCCTCTTCAATACTGGAAAGAGTTATAACAGTGTACTTGAGAAACCTGAATTTTTCCTGAAAATTTGTTTTAATAGAAAGATTTTATAAATTTCTACTGACAGTATCACTGGCTGATCTGTTAATGAATTCTAAATTTTTCCTTATAAGGAAACAGCTAATATTACTATTGCCATCACCACTAAGATGATAATTACTAGCCTATGAAAAAACTTTCAAATTATTTTCTAAGTTTAGTCCATAGTTCTAAAATGTTTATAATTTTTTTCTCCTGATTTCCTTGACAAAATATCTCTTACTTGTTCACATTTCTTTATCTTCAAAGATATTTATTTCCTTCCTTCGAGAATTCTTTACACTCTTCAGGTGCATTTTCAACTTAATTTGGATTAGCAAAAGAAAAAGGAAAAGAAAATAACCAAATTTACTGCTTTTCTTACTCTTTATGGTACATAGCTGAATAGATAATATTTTCTGAAAACACTGAAGCAAATAGTTCCAGTGCAATTTGGGGTTGTTCAAGTTCTTCCAATTTTTTAGCAATACAGATCCACTCTTCACCCAGGGGCATTCCTTCAGACAACATCAACTGATGAATAATACTTTCACCAAACTTTTGTTCTAAAAAAAAAAAAATATTAATAACTGAAAATAATTCACAAAATATTTCAAATAAATAATTAATTTTTTTGTAGTACAATGTTTTAAAATTTAATTTATATTAATATATAACAATAAATAGAAAGCTACAGAAAATGGCACATTTACTTCAACAATTTGTTAAATATTTGCAGGTTATAACACTTATTTCATAAAATTATGGAAGATATGAAAACTTCAAGTTCCTATAGACTGACATATATGTAGATCAGCAATTATTGATCAAATAAAGGACAATGTGTAACATTTATTAAAAGTCAATGATTATCAGAAATCCTTATCATTCATAAGTTTCATTTTGTTTGTTATTTTCATATCACTTTCATGATTTTCAATCATTTTAATTGAACAAGTTTGTATTGTGCTTAAAGTATTCCACACAGATTCTGTCATATTTCTTTAAATAAATTATAATGACAGCAAATGAATAAAAATAGAAATTAGTCAATGAAAAGATCAGGAATTTCTACAGTAAAGTGTTATTCAACCATACAAAAATATACAAGATTTAACTTTTTGATTAAAAGCCATTAAAAAGAAAATGTTTTTATGAGAATTTATTTTTCACATCACATAAAACTCATTTCCATGTCTATCCTAACTATTAAAGGACACATAAAATCTCTTTTCAACATATTTTTACATATATGCACTGTTATACAACTAAAGAGGACAATAAAAAATTTTGCTTTAAAATTAAAGTTTATCTTCTGTAGACAAACAAAAAGATGTTTTTATTTTTTTTCACAAACACTTACCTATTACAATCAGTTTATTCCAAAGGCGACATACAGTTTCCACTTGATGTGAATTAATGAGGATGCAAAGTACATTTCTAAGACTCAGCAATGGTTTAACAATGAAATCTGCCCAATTTTCCTGATGGATTAAAATTTGCAAAGACAACTCAAGAGAAGGACACTTGGCCAAAGCAGTTTTAAAATTATCCTGAGTAAATCCGGCCAAACATGTAGCAATGTGCAACCCACATTCTGCACGGTTCTGTTTCAGTAAGCAAAATGCCATTTGCTTGTAGAGTCCAAGCTTGCAGTAAACATGCTCTGCTAAAGACTGGTAATTACAGCTGCATACCAATGTACATTTGCATTTGGCTTCTATTTTCTCTCCAAGAGATATACTCAATGTCAATCTGTATTAGATTAAAGAAAAAAAAGAAAAAAACTTAGTCATTTAGAAAAATGACAAGGTCATTAGACAATAAATGTGTTTTTTTTAACCATTTCACCCTAAGCAAGATAATAAAGCACTAAGATGCAAGTGGTTACTGACTGTTAGTGAGTATATGAAAAAATAATACTATTAAGGAGAGAGAATAACAAAAGAACAAGAATTAAGAAGACAGAAGATAATGATTGACATTGCATTTAAATTTTTGAAGATCAAGGTTGACTAGGAAGCAAGAAGTCAGAAGAGAATTCTACAAGTGAGAAGTGCGAGAGAAGAAACTGTTAGCACAGAACTTACAGCTACATGTAGTCAATTCAACTATAAAATGATGAGACCTTGCTGCCAATCTAGTAATGCATTTAAATTTATAAAGTCTTCCATAGAGAAAGGTTCATCAGAACAATTACCATGGAAGTATTTACAGAAAAGCCACAGAGTAACTACATTACAGCAGTGGGAAAGTGACAGAAGGTGAGATGCCAGGTCAGAACCGATTACATTGCAGATTCTTTGGATTTTATCATAACTTCTAAATGTATAGCAGGAACACCAGACCAAATGTGACAGTAATATTCAATGCATGGACAAATGTTGGATCTTTAAGATAGATCCTGTTGAAAAAATGGTTTAGCATGACATAGTGAACCAACTTTTCTATCTGATTCAGTATAATCATTCCACTTCATTTTAGCCCAAGAAGCTGCAATGAGTCACTCACCTGGAGATTAGCATCAGACATGCTGATGGAAGGCAAAAAGAAGTCTATGTTTAAATTAATATCAAAGTTTTTTGACAAATATAGCAAATAAAAAAAACTACTTTGGAGAAAGACAAACCAATTCTTTTCAAGCTGTTAAACTGATATATTTTAGCAACATTTTAAAACTTATAAATTTATATTTACTCTAATATTGATATATCATCCTAATATTTTTACTATTGTATTATAAAAAACACATTTGGACTGTCACACTTTCCAATATCTGGGTAAAAAGACCAAATTACAGAATTTTCTTTGAAATTCCTTCTTGAGCAGAACTTTGGTCAAGAACTTTTCAGCACCACCATATAAAACAAAATGTAAATATTGTTGTGAATATTATATATTATATGGAGAGCATAAACCAGACATTTGACATAAGGATCATATTAATAATGTCTAAAAGGCAATCACTTTTACAATGTTTCAATTGCTACTAATTGTCAATATTTAGATATAATAGCTATTATCTATCAGTATAATTTTTATAAGCATTAAATTAATTCAGACAACATCTGTGATAAAACAAAATGGCTTTGTTTGCAATTCCACTGATTGCACAATTATTCAATAGCATTATATGAGAATTTACTTTTTATACTATAGCAGGAGCTAAGTGTTACTTGTTTTCCATAAGCAGTTGCATCCACCCTGGTTCTAACAACAGAATCTTTTTTTTGCTCAGTAGTTTGCAATCAATAAACATTATATAATTTAAAATGTTAAGTTGTTTTACTGCTAAAATACTAGATGTTTTTTTTAAAAAAATATATTGTTTTTAATGCTAGGAGGACAAAGAAATTAGTCAGTAAAATTATGAATGCGATGACTCTACTGGGCACAAATTCATATACTAAATGATTCTGTAATATAGAAAAAGTAATTAAATAACATTTCTTTATAAATGGTCTCTGTAAAATAAACATAAGTTGGATAGTTTTCCTAATAATTTTTTATCATAAAACCAAAATCTTAAACAATAAGACAGTGATCAGTAAACCAAGTTTAAATTCTAGTTCAGGTTGATTGTTTTCACTTAGTATTATTACATTTGAGAAAGTCATGAGTCCATATCTCCCTGCATTTTTTTCTATCACCAGATTTCTTGGCAAAAAATTGTCATATTACTGGAATGTCACAATGGTTGATGGAGAAGAAACTGGGTGATTGAGCATTTGGGTAATGCATTCTCACAAAACAAATTTATCATTATAGCAGATGCAACAGTAAAAAAAAATGTCAACTCTGAGAAGAACCAATCAGTAGAATCAATCTATTGCATACTTGTTTTTTGATAGCCAATGGAAGAGTAAATGCTGTTGCTGCTCTGCAAGAACACACATTACACATTCCAGTGACATTTCTTCATCAGGTTTTGACCTTGCCGTTTCAACTGTTGACATTAGTGCCTCACAAAAGGTAAAAAGGTGAGACGCTTTGTCTGGTCCAGGATGTTTTAATTCTGAAAAAGTAGAAAATATTTTGATTTATTAAAAAAATGCAGCTTAGAAATGTTTATTTCAATATCTGTTCCAATATAAAATCCTTAGATTCAAAAGGTTAGGTTTATTCACTAAATGCAGGCAAGAGAACTAATATTATACCAGACACAGTTGTTTGCTGACTTTAAATTGGACTTTTACAAAACCAATAAAATTTTAATAAGTTTCTTTTTATTGATACTTGGAATAAACTCACTGAAATTGAAAACTGCATAATAAATTGTGAAAAAATCCATAATTAATTCATCATTTCTTTTTTTAAATTATATAAAAATTATGTCAAATTATCACTTTTCTAGAATTGTTTTTTTCTTTTATATCACTCCACTTGAATTTTGTTACAAAATTTCATTATAAATATTTCAATACAAAAATATAAGAATTTTTGAAAAACACTCCAAGCAGTTACAATTTACTGAATCAAAATTAAGTTAATACTGATTCAATGGACTTTATAAAATTGTTATTGTTAGTATGTTTTTCATTAAATTTGATATATGAACTTAATTTACATATTCAATTTAAAATGGATTTTCCTTTTGAAATTAAGTTTTTAGTTTTACAATTTTTTGCCATATCAAACTGAATAGGCTAAAGAAAGGATTCTTTTAAATTACATTGAATGCATACAAATAACAATTTTTCAATATTATATTTATATTATTCTATCATAAATAACTTACAATGGTCAGTATTGACAAAATGAAGTAATTACAAACCATAATTTGTAGCAATTTTAATGTTCATTCTATCAAGCAACTGAAAAATACAGTTATATATTACAGGACATTAATAAGTATTTTTATATGACACTAATACCAACCAATACTAGTTAATAAAAAATAGATTTAAATTTGATAGTTTCAAAACAGGTTTTTCTGGTTTGGTTTTAAAATGCATACTGAATTTTTCAAGAAAAAATAGCTGAAAAATATAAATTTAAGAAAAGGTTTTTAATTTAAGAAAAAAGTTGTCTCCCTTGGACCCCCCCCCCCCCCCCGTCAACTACCACCAAAACAATTTTTTAAATAATAAAATATAAATTTTCTAACTTCTGTCTAAACTGGAAAAACACAGTTTATCTCATTATACAAACCTTTAAATTTGAGTAATGTGGCTTGTGTCCGCAATATACCTTTAGGACTAACAGCTGCATGCCTACCAGCCTCTGTATAAAGGCCACTTTCAAAGAGTTCATTAAATTTGTCAATGTAGTCCAGCATCATTTCTGCTTCTCGTTCATTGCTTGACTCATCTTCTTTAAATGCTTTAGCTGTACTGGATAAAAGCTTATCATCTGTATCAGATGTGTCTAAAGGCATAAATACAGAAAAAAATACATTCTTAAAAAAAATTCAGAAAAACATTAGAAATAGCTGAGTAATAGGGAAGACAAAGACAATTGTTCATGTCAAATTATACATGTCATTTACAATTGTTTTCTCAAAACAAGATTAAGTGTAAAAAAAAAATAAAACATTTAACCAATTATTTTAGCTATTCAGTCTTTCTAAACTGAGAAGCCTTTATAATAATATTAGGCAAGATGGGATTAGGGAAAATCAAGGGTTAGAAGGATGAGGGGAAAATACAGTGGAAAGAAGGAAAGGTAGAAAGTAAAAAGCTACAGAAAATAGAAAGAAAACTATATGAAAGAAAAAATAATGGATGAGATAAAGAGATAAGCTTGCTAACAATAACAAAATATAGAAAGGTGAGTAGGGATAGAAAAGCATAAAAATAGTGATGCATTGAAATTCTTTATGAAAAGATACAGTTTAAAATATTTATGAATTCTTTATTACTTTTTGACTATATTTGTTTAGAAAAAAAAGAACATACAATAAAAATTTGGTTTGAATAAGGGAGATAATAAGATACAGACTAAGGGTGAGAGAAGAGGTATCAGATGGTAATGCTGGTTGTCAACATCCATGACATTTCTACAGGTCCAACTAATCATTATTAATGACATTTAAGTGCCTATGTTTAATATATTAATCAATTTTGATTTGCTACTGAAAGAGAATGTTTACTGCAATGACTATAAATCAAATTGCTAAAGTTTTTAATTATTTTATTCTTGTTTTAAACACAACTCAACAAGTTTTCTTTCTTATGGAAAAAAAAGTTTCATTCTTATTGCATGGTTCATTACAGTACAATTATGTTCATTAATATTTAATATCATAAATATACTTATTATAAACTATTAAACACAAATTATTTTTTAAGTTCAATGTACCAAAAGTGCATAGAAAAAGAAATCCTAGTTTTTAATGAAGAGACTGAAAATAATAACAAAATAATTTATTTTACAAAATTGAAAACACTATTAGCAGTAAAGCTAACTTTACCTTTCTCAATGAATTGGTTATCAATGGCTAGTTTGAGAGCATGAGCCACAATATCTCCAACTGACCAATGAGGGGGTCTTATGTCATTGTATGCTCGAGCTGCCTCAAAGCCCACCTTGATTCTCTGACGTTTGGCCTGTAAATAACGACCCTCCTGACGCATATTGTCTCTCTCAGCAATTTTTGTAGATAGTATTTCTTTCAAGTATATTTTATGAAACTGAGGTAAGTATTTATTTTTCCAGTTGGAATTTAGGTCAACAATTTCCTGTTCAAGTGCCTTCAGTTTGGATTGGAGGAATACAACATCTGTTGCTTGTTTCAGATTTAATCCTGATCATAAAAAAATGAAATAAGGAAATAAAATTAAATTTAATTTTATTAAAAAGAATAATTTATAAAAATCAAAAGGCAAAATAAAATAGATGCTCACATTTTCACAGAGATAAATAAAATTATCCTCACTAAACTGACCAATACAGATAATTTCAGAAAGATTGGATATTTTTCACACTGTATAGATAGATGAAATGATAGCAACATTTGCAATTATAAATATACTTATACCTATCACTGAAGGTATGAGCATTTAAGCAATTAAGGCAGTAAATATGCACATGCATGCACATGCTTGTACAATCTCTAAAATGTTGCTGGAAATTTACAAATACTAAATCCCTTTCACTTTTCTTCTTTGTCCCTTAAATGGAGTATGTTGCACAGAGGGTATAGAGTATTGTGCCAAGGTAGAGAGTGACAAAAATATACATTGGTTGCACAGAGGGCCAATTTAAAAAGAGGTGGTATAATTATACCTCATCATTTATAATACCCAAATGCAGCTTCTGTACAAGGCTAGCTAACTATTATTGGAGTTTTAGAGGAAAAAAATGAAAGAAGTCTGGCCATTAAATGGAATATTTTAAGAAAAGTGAAAGCTCATAAAGTAAATAGCATTTCCTGTAGGCTGTGCCAGGAGGAAAAGTTGGCAACATACAAGGGTAGTTCTGAGTTGTTGAATGAGATTATGACAAAATGTAGGTACATGAGGAAATTGACTTTGAGGATTTATAAAACCAGATGAAGTTGGAAAAGCAATTGCTTTTTTTTTTTCCCCACCCCTCCTCTGCTTCATTACTACCGGTGCAGCATTAAGAAATTTAAGTCTTTATGGTTTTGTACATAATGATTTTGCAGAGTTAACCACCTGATGAGACCTTAGCAGTCAAAACTGCTGTAGTGTCCCATTCAGTGTTTTACAATTTTAGAATATTAAATTGCCCTACAGGTTTGATTTTTTCTGGATTGCTATTGAGCACTTTTTAACACATACAATTTTAAATGTATATTTTAGTGTTTATATATATATATATATATATATATATATATATAATGAAAGTAATGAAAATCTTGGTAATCGGTATGGATAATCCCAAAGAGGATGAAATCCAGAGAGCTTGTAGGGTTCAGCGTACCCAGATTAAAAGGGAGAATTTAATACGGGGTACCCTGCCCACAAAATACAACACAAATTTCAAGAAAAAACAACACGATAAGGAATGTTTGTAGAAAATAGAACATTGTATATTTATTATCTTGTGAATAGGGTAAAAAAATTATTAATGCTTTAGTTTGTTTAAACAAAATGTTATTTTGACAAAAATGTCTGTGTTCGCTGTCTTTCAACAGAGTAGCAGTGTAATGCCTGCTTCTTTTGTTTTTGTATAGGTGTAAAGGAAAAAGGGGCGATCAATTTAAGTTGAAAAAGAGAGTGTGGATGAGAAATAAAAGATAAGAGGAAAATGTACCTATCGGGTTGAATTGTTTTGGAGTCAGTTGTAAATTTGTTGTTGTTGTTGTTGTTGTTGTTTTCCTTTCCTACTCCACTTTCGGCTCTTAGTGTCGGGTTGAGTCAGTGATGGAATTTACCGTCAGTCTTCTGTCCTCTATGATCTCTGCGCCCTTCTGACTGGTGACTGACTTGAAACTCTCTATTTATTGTTGACTTTTTTTTCCACACTGGCTCGTTATCTTTTTTTTGGTTTAGCAAATCGCCTCCTTTCATTGGTCAGAAAATTAATTTCACACCTTATTGCGAAATCTGTTTTTAATCGTTTTGATCTTTGCGGGTGTGCAAATCTACTTTGTGTTTTTTAGTCGTTAATTGGAATGATATAGGATTTGTATCCTATAAGCTCAATGTTAAATCAGAGCAATTAATTTAATTTAAAGAAAAACAGACCACTTTAAGATTCCTTTGTTATAATTTATTTCACCATGTTTTATGTGGTGTGTATGAATATATATATATATGAGGTATGTATGTATGCACATATATGTGTGTGTCGGTGGGCACCTTGAGGCGGTGTAATGGTTAGCAAGCTTGTCTCGCTAGCACAATTACAACTGAGTCATGAGTTCGATCCTCACTGGGTGTCCCATACTTTCAGCCTTGTGCCACATCTAAGCTACACTTGTAAAATCACTATATATGTGTGTGTGTGGATGGTTGTATATATATATATAGATTAAGTGTAAAAACAGTAAATTCTTTTATTATTACCTTCAAATCATACTTCATCTTGAAATAGTTTGAAATATTACTCATCTAGAAATAGTTTCAAATTAAATTGATGACTTAGACTTTAACTAAGAAATATTACAGTCTGTCCTGCTATTTACCCATAGCTGGAGGGAGAAGAGGAGGATTAATACCTTTCCCATGTAAGTGAATGTAATGGATTTGACTGGAATTCAAACTCAGCTCTCTGATTCCTCAATTCAAGCTGCTATCCACTACTCCACCATGCCTCCTCTCGAGATATATATATATATATATATATATATATATATATATATATATATATATATACTTTATTTTAGAATATTACATTGAAAAACATGTCAAAATCAATACACAATTCCAGTCATGTTTTTTCAATGCATATCAATACATCTCATAAAGGAATTGTAAATTACTGGCCAGGGAACAATTTACCTGTGTATATATATATATATATATATATATATATATATATATATATATATATATATATAAATGACAATAGGAAAACTGTAGTTATTGCTGACATGTTTCATCCTATGTGGACTTTCTCAAAGCAAAAAACGAAATGAATTTAATTAAAGAAAGTACCTAATAATAACAAAAAAATAGAATGTTCTTAGCAACTGGAGGAATGTAGAGAAATGCTATTTTCATATTGTTAACTGAAAATAACATCAGTTATTGTCACGTGTGGAGAATATTGTCATTATAACTGTGTTGGCGGATTCAACTATTTTCTTTTGATTTTACGATATTGTTGTGTACGTTTGTTTAGGAGAGCAGTAATTTTGTTAAGAAAGATGAAATAGATAAAAAACCAATAGGAAATGTTTATCAATTTAACAGATTTATTAAAACACTTTTATTAAAGCTTCATACAGAGAAAAAGAAGAAAGAAATTTTGGTATTTTTATTTTTGTATTGTTTAATTCTCATTGGTTAATCAGGTTTCACATATATACAACTTGTTAAACAAGCATTAGTATAAATAATGGCATTCTGAATTCAAGTGAGTTGACACATCCTTTCAAAGTTCAAAAGAATTAACAGATTCCAAACTTAACTGAAAAACCATAAATATTGCTTTAGGTATATAAGTGTATAATAATTCTAATTTGTCTATGTGGGATTCAGATGATTATGTATATTCATGTTTGTGTGGGTGTGTATGTTTAGTAGACATTATGCTTGGTGTTTTTTTGCATTTTGATTTGAAGATGGTTCTTATATATATATCATTTGTTTTAGATAAACATACATTAGATTCTTTAAGAATGAATTCAGTAAAGGTTGGTGATGTAATGCAATGCTTTTGACATGTGTTTATAGTTGGTAATATTATCATTAGTAATCGCTCAAAGTACTTTTGCCATAAAGAATTATGTTATTTTTTAATTAGGGTGGAATTTGTAATATCAAAGTTATGCACAGTTTTGTTCCTGTGTATTACAAGCAAGCTTAAATGGTTGTCAAAATGTATAGCCCTTTTATGTTCAAAGATACAGCTTTTAGATTTTGTGATGTCCTGCCAATATAAGAGCTTTTACATTGTAAGAAATTTATTTGATAAGTACCAGTATCTGCATTGGTGTTGGATTTATTTTTCTTCCCAATTATATCGCCGACTATCTTGGACATGATGGTAAAGATCCTAGTATTAGGAATAACTAATTTATTTATAAATTTTGTAGAAGCAGGTACGATTATGAATTTTGTTTTGTTGATGTTAGAGGTGCTATTGGTGATGTTTTGTTTTTTGGACTTGTGAAATTTGTACGCTAATACAGAGTTGCAAAGTTTTAAATCTAATCTTTATGATAAACTAATTTAGGTCTCTGTAATTATTATACCTGTGTTTTCAATGACATAAAAGCTCATAACCTCATCAAAAATAACTGTTACATTATATTATCATTTAAGGAACTTCAAGTATTAAAAAGTAAGACCAAATAGTATTTAAATACCTGGTAACCTTCGTTTGTCCATATAATAATGAATGCCTCTCTTTTCTTTTTTCTTTTCTTCTAAAGTTATCTCTTCTTGTCTTTGGTGAATTATCTCAAGTTGCTGCAACAGACTGCTTTCATATTCTTGCAAAGAAATCACACTGATAAAAAAATAAGAAACAAGTATCTAAGGATAAAAAAACTTCATTTTATTTTCAATCTCACAAAAACAAAAATTTGACAAATGAGAAGTTGGTTAGTAGCGAGTTAAAATTTTTGTATGTTTTATATAGAAATTAATTTAGTTAATTACTGAAATTTGTTTAATTGGTAATTAATAATTTAATTGCAATTATCTATTCTAACAAAGTAATGAGCTGTCCAAGAAGTATCTATAGCTCCCAATTCTTTCAAATTCAAAATTAGTTTTCATTATATATATATATATATATATATATATATATATATATATATATATATGTATATATATGATGGCTGCTGACTCGTTAATTGAGTATAACTATTTCTAACACATTAACTGAAGATAACTTATTGAATTGATAAATTATGTTATTACATTAATTTTACACTAAAATCTATTTGGACAGTAACCCCTATCTAATATATATTTTCATTAAAAATGATTAACAAGGTACTTCTGTTGAGATGTTTTTGTGTATTTTTTTTTTTTTTTTTTTTTTGCATATGAACAAGGTATTTCTTTTCTGGACTAATGTAGAAATTTTCCAAATGATTGTGTGTTCCAAGCACTTTCCAATCTTTCAAATCTATTAACATTTTTCAAAGATTTTCATTGTGCTATTGCAGATGGTATATAAATTGCTGAGAGGTAGATATATTTTTAATTCCCAAATATGGCCAATACATTATGTCAGTGTTCATAATTGATGTTGTTAAGGGTTTTTTTTATGATAATTAATAAATTAGCCACAAGAACAATCAATCAACTAAATAATACTCTTCAATATGAAAGAAATAAACTAAATTTTTTGGTAGCAAATAAGCCCTACCGATCTTCAAGTTGGTCAATTCTCATCCTGTAGTTATGCAAGGTAGACCCCTGAGTAGACAATGCCATGAGAACATGTTGCAATCTTGGATTCTGGTTCTTGGAAGTCCGAAGTGCTTCAATGACATTTTCATATTCTTTTTTTACAGCTAGTAGCAAAGGACGATAAGAATGAATATGTTCAATGACCTTTAAATGAAAAGAAAACAATATCATTATATGTAGACATCTAAGCATTTACCAAACGATACACAGGGAAAGTTGATGCTAATTTATTTCTCTGAGTGAATGAAAATTATTTGATGTTAATGCTGATTGTAACTTAATTATTATTAGCAGTTAAAAATGAAACAATGTTGAGTTATTATTTTTGTATAGTTTTTATAACATATAATGCATAAATTTTACATGAAAGTAATTTGTGTGTATATGAACACTACAGTTGTGAGTAAAATTATGTTCTGGTCTTCATGTTTCAGGCATAAAAAGCAGAACTTTTTATAACTGTACAGTCAGGTAGTTTTCTAAACTTAAATTTGAATAGAAATTGATTTTTAATGGTTTTTCACATCCAATTATTCTTCTTGCAAGATTTTTGTTCTTCAGTATTGTATAAACTGCATCATCAAAAAATGTTTTCCAAAGAAAACATTACTACCAATAAAAGGATTAACTTGAAATCTATACACAATTGCTTCAGTTTGTCATGCATATATACTTCCAATTATGAGAGAACTTAAGCAATACTCAAAATAAAAGTAGCGGCATTGCCCAAAAAGGAAACGTTAGTTCAAGCAATTACAACTCACCTTATTAAATGAATGTTGAAAAATAATGAACCTTTCATCAGGATCTTGCTCATCTATCTCTTGGAGTTCTGAGTTGATGAAAGAGATCAGCTCATTGACAAATTTAGAATCTAGACCATTGTTCAGTTGCTGGCTATTATCCAAAATGGTTTTAGTTGATCCAGAAGTAGAGACTGGTGATGTATTATTTGATTCTGTCTGCATATTTGAGTTACTTGAGAAATGAAATATATTGTCCAAAAATGTTGTTACAGATTAAACATGAAAGGATATATATTTATATTAGTGAAAAAATGTATTATAATAAAAAAGAATGCTAAAGATTTATACACTTGTAGGCTTTCTTGTATGTATAATAATCATATTTAGAATATGTACTGACTTCTAAAGAATTTTAAGAAAAAAACTAATAATTTCTAGCTCACTTTATTCTGTTGGATTTGAAAATAGAGAACTGAATAATGAAATGGTTCTAATAAAAGTTACTTCAATAAGTCTATAGCCTGATGTAGTTATTAGTTGAATTTTAATCTGAAATTTTCACTCAATGATTTATATTCACCAGTGAATAAAACACCCTAATAAGGGAAATAATTATGTTAAAAAATAAATATATGCTCTGTGAAATAAATTTGTTTTTCATCATGTAGCTATAGACCTACTGTAAGTGATATAGCAAGATTAAAAAATAATAATATATAGATAAAGCAAATACATTTAGTTGATATCAATCAAAACAATCACTATACTCACATTATCCCTAATTGTTTATGCATATTAGTAAAAGTACAAAGAAGGTGATATTGCATATAATTTTGTTTTAATTTCTCTGAAACTGATTCTTTTAAAAAAAATTAAAGATCCATTTGAGATCTGCTTAAAATTTAAATTTTCTGCACTACCTGATCCAGTGTAGAAAATTTATAAGCTCTGTTTCTGTAGAAGAAATGGACAATTAACAGAAAAGTGAATGAATTGGAAGAAGAAATATCCTGTAAGCATATAAAGTGGAACAAAAATGAAACACCATGGATTAAATAAAGCAAAGTGTTCATTTAAAATTCCAAAGTTGCTGAGTTTGACAACCTGAAGAAAGCCAGAGGATACAACAATCAAATCAGTGGGAAATGAAGTCCAAATGGAAATAATTCCTCATCTCAAATAATCCAACATAAATTATGACTTTGCAATATTGTCATTTTTACTTATCTGTCAATAAATACAAAACATAATACTTCAGATCTTACAATTACCTAACATAGCTAAACTTTACTGCAAATCATTTTAAATTCTCACAGTTGACTAAGTACTTTTAAGCCAGTTTTATCACTTTAAGTATTTTAAATAGAAACTTAAAATTATTTATCTCTCACATGCATTAATTTAGTAATGTTGCATATATATAAAACTAGCAGCATGGCCTGGAGTTGCCCATGCTTGATTCAAAAATCATACAACTCATACAACAATCGCTATCACTTGACTTAAAATATTTTTGCCCTTCCTTGCCTTTAAAGGAGTGCCCTTTGCCATGCTGATGTTGCTACATTTTCTAAGCTCTATACTAAACATTAAATCTGTTACGAAAAAAGAACTAAACAAAATGAACACAAAATGATCAGCTTTAAAAAAGGACTGGTAACTGGAAAAAACGAATGAAAAAAGAATGTTAACAATAAATAGTTTTTCACACCCAACCCAGTTCTGCGGAATCAGAATCAACACTGAGTTTAAGCAAGCGAATGAGCCAATTGGAGTAAAGTGCCATGCAGATTTAAATTTTTCCCACTTGTGATGAATGCAGCTATAGATATTTTTACATGCTAGCATGCTAGTTAACATTCATGTCAGTCAGCTCTTGGCTCTCACGCTGGCCAATAGAATCTTCCTGCCTATTCGTGGCAGCCAGCTATAGGCTCTCACTCTGGCCAGTAGAAAATGGCCACAAACTACATGAAAACTGCCGTATAAGCATGAAAAAAATCGATTATTTCCAATATCAATGGGAGTTGGGAAATGCAAAGTCGGTCTTGGCCTTCCCGCTAACTTGGAGCATGTGCATGTAAATTTTGGTGCAAATCCGTCGAAAATTGCAGCCATGCATTCGTTACACACACACACATCCTGCCTTTTATAGATAGAGATATCTACATTTAGAATTTAGAAGATCCACACACACACACATATATATATAATTCAATGTGTATCAATATGTTTGTATGTTTTTATCCTCAAAAGATGACTTGAGAGTGACCTTTTGAACGTAGACCGAACTCGCAGATGATGACAGTAGTACCTATCTATATGCAAATAATCCTGTCATTTGTTTTTTAGAGGTACTATCCTAGCAATTAATAATTTTACTGATACACCAGAAGTTTTATAATATATGAACATATAAAGGGGAAATAACAAGAATAGAGCAAACGTAGGGTTATCTCCCCATGGACCGTTACATTTTTTAAAGTCTTTCTCACATTCAGATCAATATGCAACATACTGTTCTGCTGTGAACGTTTCTTGGGGATGATGTGATTCTAATGAAATGTAAGAAATCCTTTTATTAAAGCAGAAACCTATTTTACAGAGGATACAGGGGTTAAGCTATACAACATTTTTATAAGATTTTTCTAGTATATGTGCTATAATATTTGCTTGAAATTTGAAAATTCAAATTTCCCTTGCATAAATTTGCAAGGGAAATTTCAGCCTTCTCACTGAAACAGAGAACCCCCAGAAAAAGAAAAAAAATACTAACACCTAATGCATTTTGTAAATGAAAAATCTTTATAAAATGTTCTATCTTAATTTTTCAAGCCAAATTTAAATTGATTGAAATTGTTTTTATTTGCTAAAATCCGCCATATTGACAAATCTGTCAACACAGCACAATCCTCTATTAAAGAATCTTTAAAAAATAAAATATACTTTTCTGAAACTTTTTTTGCAGAATATTAATTGATTTAAAGTTTAATTAATCTGAGTTAAAACAAATATTACTTACTTTCAGTTTAAAATATAGCAGAAAAGCATCTTTTTAACATGGGCATGAGTGTTTTATGATGTATTGACACATTTATCAATAAATGATTATTGCAAGATTTTGGTAAGGATGAAATACTTGTAGTAAAATTACATGATGAATACAACATAAACAACTTTTTATATCATTTTTATTTTAATATATTTTTTCAAATATTTTTTACTGAATATTAGGTACTTCATATTCAAATTTTTCGACAATTTTCGAGCCTGCAAAAAAAGAAATAGTGTGTCAACAGAACAGTTTTTCCCTTGATACCACTATCATTTTAAGATTGCAAATGAGTGAAAGTACTCATCAGCAATGTTTATTGCTTTAAAAAGGGATAATTAAAATTTTAATAAAATTTAAACATATGAAAGTGAATTTATACTTTTTCTTTCTTCTTGAGAATTGACAACAAAAATAATAAACACTATTAGATTGTTTATTTATTTATTATTGATTATTGGAATGATCTGCAAAATATTGGTTTATTGCCAATCAATTAGAACTTTATAATATGGTAAATAATATGGATTTCTTTATTATAAATAAGGATTTCCTTATACCTTATATTTTAATGTAGTTAATGTTTATAAATTTATTAATAATATTTTCATATTTATTTCTTTATAAATTGGTAAATGATAAATACTGCATTGCATTGTATTATTTATCAGAATGTTGTAAATACAAAATTATTCTTGTAAATAAGCAGCTTTTGCTGCATATTCTCAAGACCAAAAAAATAAATTCTCTTTCATCATTCATTAGGTTTTATTACAACTGTAACCATCGCTTTTTAAAACAAAAAACATTGCTGAGAAGTGAAGATAGTTAAAATAATAGCCGTGTCAAATAAAAAAAAATCCTTTTGACATACCGTTTTTTACGGGCATGAAGGTTAAAGATTGCTATATATATTTCGAATTTAGAAGATCCACTCACATACGTGTATCAAGATGTTTGTCCGTCTCTGTTATAAAAAGAGAACTAGAGAGCGACACATTGGACGTAAACAGAACACACAGATGACGATACTCGACAGAAATATCGATCTATATGTAAATAATCCTGTTATTTGATTTTAGAGGTATTATGCTAGTAATTACACCAGGAGTTTCATAATTTATGAGTATATAAAGGGGAAATAAAAAATTTTTTTAAAATAGAACCAACGTAGAGTTATCTCTCCATTGACCGTTAAAATTTTTTTTTTTTTTTTTTTTAATCCTTTCACAGATTCAAATCTTGTTCTACATAGACATACCTTTTTGGAATCAGGATGATACCGGGATTGAAAATCTGTCACTCATCTGGTACTGGAGCATCCAGCATAGGTATTTGTCTCCAAATGAGGAGATAAGTTAAAAATTCAAATTTTAAAATAAGTAGAAAAAAATGAGTGATTTTAAAAGTTTTTTTGTTTTTAATTTAACACAAAAACTTTGTGAATTAAAAAAATTGTTTTAAATTCAATTTAAAAAAATATCTTCAAAACTTTTTGAATTAAGGAAATCAATTTTATTTCTTCAAAATGCCATGGAATCAAAGTTAAAGTGAAAGGTTTCGCAGAGTTTGAAGTTCCACTGAGTTTTTGATTGAAGAACTCGATTTTGGGTCTGAATCGGACTTTTGGCCGGAATTGGACTTATAGCCTGAATCAGAGTTAAAGTGAGGTTTTGAAGTTCCATGGTGGAGTGAACTGAGGAATTCTAAGTTATTTCTTCAAAATTATCATTACTGTTTTCTAAAGTGGACCAGAGGTCCCTTTATTTTTGGGCTGGTGGCACAGTTAGCTCTCTACAGTAGTTCTTTAACTCAAAGGTCAGCACGAAGTGCAGCTTTAAGCTAGTTTATAAATTTACTGATGCACCAGAAGTTTCATAATTTATGAATAAAGTGGAAATAACAAGAATAAAACAAACGTCCTTCACACAAATCAATGTGCAGCGTGAGTTACGCTGTGCACGCGCTTGTTAGGGATTATTTGAATTTATGTAGTAAAACAAATTGAAAAAAGTAAAGGAAATGTAGAAACCTTTTTTTTTATTAAAGCAGAAACCTATTTTACAGAGAAAGTAGTAGTCAAGCATTTTTTTTCTTACTTACGAAGGAAATATTTTTAAAAATCTCAAACTTAGTATAGTTTTCGTACTTGTTTTCTGATAATGTCGTGTATGGGCGTC